CAGGACTTAAGGACGAAACGATTCATCTAATGATTCTCATAGTTAAATGGTTTCGTATAACATCTCTAATATTTTTGAGGGGGGGAAAAATTATTCCAAGCAAAAAATACATTCATGAACATTCATAGAAAAATTGTAAAGTCCACTATAAAAATATTCTTAGTTTTTTTTTTATATGAATTTTTATATGAATTGGTTTAGCGTGAGATGTTGGTTTAATTTATGCAAAAGAAAGATTCCTCAAATTTCTTAATGTCCTAAACACTAAATCTTTGACGCATTTCTTCGCGATTTCCGAATTCTTCATGCCAAGTAGTCTTGATAATTTTCCAGTCCTTTGGCAAAAAAAAAAAAAAATTTTAATACAGAAATACTTTTCCTTCTTAGGCACGTTCCTGAGATATGAGATCATGAGGAAGAATGTGAAACACACGTAGCAAATTCTCGAAAATCGCAGGATACATATTCAATATGATCGTATTGTCGCTTTTTGATTCAATTCGAATAAAAAATTCGCTAACTTGAAGCGAAGAATATAAGAGTATCTCTAGGACTATCTCTTCTTTTCTTTTGATTTTTTAAATTTATTTCTCAATTTATAGCGATTTCTAAAATAAATAGATATCAATTGAGTGGCAAAAAACATTAGTTTGAAGCATCGAACAAGGTATATTTCGCGCGAGGGTGAGATAAGAGAAGAAGGGGGAAAAAACAGAATATCAAATTCCTTGGAAACTTCCATTATTGCCTTCCCTTTTCTCTTTCTTTCTCTTTTTTTCAGTGTGTGCACGTATATGTCCGGTTTTCTATTTTGCTGTCGTTTTCTCTTTGGAAACAGTGAGAAATTTTTTAGGCTGTTCAAACGCAAAATGCGATGTGCATTTAAATCGGTATTTATTATCGCGAGTAACGTTATAAGTGCGAGAGGATGAAAATGTAAAACACAAGTAGAGATGGAAAGACAGAGGGATGAAAATGAAAAAGAAGAACTATAAAAACA